AGAGATAGTGGTCCCAGAGGGAGTAACACCCTCTCCCACAGACACACATGGTCCTGGCCACCAGCACCCCCACCCCCCCCCAACCCCAGCCTTATTTTCCTCCTGAGGACTTGCCACGACCCTTACCTTGTATGTTACTTATACCCTCGTTTCTTGTCACCTAGAACTCCAGTTTCAAGGGGACAGGGATAATTTTTCCAATCTGTTCACTGCAGCACCTACAACAGGGCCGGTGTTAGTCTCCTACCGCTGTAACAGAAATACTACAAGTGGTGGGGCTTTAAAGAACAGGTATTTATTTCCTTAGAGTTCTGAAGGCTAGAAAGTCCAGATCAGGGTCTTGGTCTTGTGAATTCCTTCCTTTTCAGGTGGTCCGAGGTGTTCCTGCGTTCCTTGGCTTGTAGACGATCCTCACATGGCATCCATCTCCCACTGGGTCTGTACACATCTCTCTCTATAGACTCAAACCAAACCCATTGCCATCGTGTCGATTCTGACTCATAGCAACCCTATAGGACAGAGCAGAAGTGCCCCACAGGGTTTCCAAGGCTCTAATCTTTACGGGAGCAGACTGCCATATCTTTCTCCTACAGCATGGATGATGGGTTGGAACAGCCGACCTTTCAGTTAGCATCTGAGTGCTTTAGCCACCGCACTACCAGGGCTCCTTCTCTGTTTCTATGCTGCTCTTCATATAACTCTAAAGTGGTTGTTTAGGACCTACCATACACTGATACGACCTCCACTAATTAATACTACTACATTAGATTGCACTATGGAAAGTAATTACATTACATTCACATGTGTAGGAATTAGGCTTCCAACACGTATCTTTTGGGGGACACAATTCAATCCTTAACAGCCGGTTACCCACAAGAGCTTCAATAAATACTTACTGAATGACCAGGCTCAACAGACACAGGCATACTTGGGTTTGTACACAAACCTTGTCACAGGCACACATCAACTTGAACTTCATAAAATGAATTGCATTCACGTCATCCATGTAGTGGAAGGCTATCTCCCTGCCTCTAAACCAGTTTCCAAAAGAGGTTCCTTCAGAAGTCATGGTCAGGGAGAAATCTTCCAGAGTCCTCACTGTCTCCATAAGAGGTACAGGGCGGGAAGCCTGAGTCCATGAGAGGCAGGGGGCCACCATGGCCCAAGTTATGACACTCTAGATATAATGCTGATGCTCATGGATTAGAAACTCCCCAGACAAGGTCACCCTTGGGGAGAACTGAAGGTGTGCCTTTATGTTTCAGGAGGACAGCATTCCCAAAGGTCTGTGAGGTTACAACCAGGAATCTGGTGTAGCCGCAAAGACAGATTCTAGGAGGTGACCTCCTTCCCTCCAGTTATGCCTGTGAGCTGAGGACATCCTACAGGGTGTTTCCTAAGTACAAACTGGGCTCACAGGAACAAAAGGGGCACAAGTCCTTCTTCCCTAGTCCTTCAATTCTTCCTAAGGGTCCCAAGGTTATAGAAAGAAGTATTGTTGCACACCCATATACCAAGCTTCAAGAGGTTAAGTATCCTCTTAGTATATAAAATGATTGTTGGCTAGTTTATTTCTTAAAATACATATACACTGAAATTCACAATTTTAAGAGTAGCTCTATGAGTTTTCCTAAATGCATATTTACACCACTATCAAGGTACAGAACACTCTATCACCCCAAAAGAATACTCTTGTGGGCCCATTTATACTCAAAATCCCACCCATAGCCACTAATCCGTGTTAGATTTCGATACCTTTGCCTTTTCCACTGTCATATAAAATGAATGCCATACAGCCCTAGGAGTCATTTTGTAAAATGTGATGCCGTATCTGGAAAACTGAGTAATCATACTTGTCTTCCAGTATTGTTCCATATTTTACTTTTTTTTGACAGTACCAAGTACCGGTGGTGGCACAGAGTAAGTCTTCAAAACTGAGAGGTTACATTACGAAGAGCTATGTGAGTTTAGCAGGGAAAATTCTGTGCACTGCGTGATTAACTCAATTTGCATGACAATAGGGATGATGTGGGTAGGGCTCAAATGAGGCAGATTATGAAATCACAATCTCTGCAGTGATACATAAACATGAATTAACATGGAAAAAAATGAAGATTATCTTTCCTCCCTGATGAAAACACAAAGATGCTACTTTTTTCCCTCTATCCTAGCTACTGCTAGATGTCTAATAATATGCAAATGATAAGTGTGAAAAAGGAAATGGCCTTTTGGAGGCTTTGTGGATCATTAAAAGTTTCCACCTTCTCCTCCTATAAAATGCATTAAAATTTTTCCTCTTCAAGGATCTCAAATTGTCTTAATTATCTAGTGCTGCTGCTGTAACACAAATACCACAAATGATTGGCTTTAAAGAACAGAAACTTAACTTCTCACAGTTATGGAAGCTAGAAGTCCATTAGGGTCCCGGTCGTGTGGATTCCTTCCTTGTCAGTAGTCCTAGGTGTTCCTTGGTTCCTTATATACCATCCTCACGTGGTACCTATCTTCAGCTGTTGGTGCTGTGTCTAGGTCTAGTCTGCTCTTAACTCAGAAGTGACTGTGTTTATGACACACCCTACGCTGTTATGGCCTCATTAACATAAAAAACTCTGTCTAAACAGGACTATATCCACAGATACAGGTGATAGAATTCTAACACATATTTCCCGGGACACGCAGAAATCCGTAACATTCAGTTGACTCTGCAAAATTCATCTTCTTCCCAAGTGCAGAATACATTCACCCTATCACATCATCCACAAAAGTCTTATTATCAACTCTAAATTCAAAATCTCATCTTCTGAATCATCTAAATCTAGCACGGGTGAGACTCTGGGTGTGTTCCATCCTGGGGCAAAATTCCTCTTCATCTATTGACCTGTGAAATCTAGACTACAAGTTATCTGTTTCCAATGTACAATGGTGGAGCAGGCACAGGGTAGACACTCCCATTAGAGAAGGGAGAAACTGGAGGGAAAGAAGGGGTCACAGGTCCAACATAAGTCCAAAATCCAGCAGAACAAACTTTATTAGCTCTTAAGCCTTGAAAATAATCTTCTGTTCCCCGGGAACCTCTGGACGATGGCCCTGCCCACCAGGCTCTGGGCATCACCTTCTGAGTCCACTGGGACAGACATCCTGCTCCCTTGGCTCTGGCAGCCCCATTCTCCTGGTCCACCTGAGTGGTGACCCCAGCCCCTCGGCTTCAGGTGACTCCATTGTCCTGGCCCACTGACATGGCAGCCCTACCCTCGGGAACTGAGGTGGTGGCTCCTGGATTCTGAAACCTAGGAGGTGGTGGTTCCACCCTTTGAAACTGAGGCAGCACTGCCCTGTGTGCTCCTGCTGGTCTACAAATTGCACCTGGGATGGCACGTTCCTTTTCTTGGAGGACAACAGATATTCACAACCAAGTTTCCTGCTCACAGAATTCCACAGGGCAGAAAGCTTTCTTCTGTTTTGTCCTGTCTCTGTCCCTTTCAGTCTAAGCTGACAGGGTTTCTGCTGAGGTAGTTGATTAGATCAGTCACAGGCCAAATCCTGTAGCAAAAGATTGTGTAGCCATGCTCTTGGTCAAAGTTCTAGAATATGATTTCTTAGTTTGTACAACAGGATATTCCAAACCTTTAAGTTCTGGTTTCATTTTGCACAGTTCATTTTTAAGTCTCTTTCCTCCCAAATTTTACTATAAGCAGCAAGGAGTAACCGCTCTAGATTTCCAAGATTTTGCTTAGAAATCTCCTGAGCCAAATATGCAAATTCATCACTTACAAGTTCTACTTTCCACAAAACAGTTAACATAACTTAGACAAGAATTTGTCACTTTATATAAAGGATCATCCTTTCTTCAGTATCAAATAACATGTTCATCACTTCCTTTTAAATCCTCCACAAAACCATACTTAACGTTGTTTCTAACAACATTCTGTTCATGGAAACAGAAGCTGTCTCTGCAGGATTACTCATTTCTTTCTGAGCCTTCATCAGAACTGCCATTAATGTCCATAATTCTATCAACAGTCTCTTCGAGGCAAAACAGGCTCTTACTATCAAGCACATCAAAATTCCTCCAGCTTCTATCCATTACCCAGTTCCAAAACCCCTCTCACATTGTAGGTTATTTGTTAGAGCAGACCTCCACTCTCTGGCACCAACTTCTGTCTTAGTTATCTAGTTGTTGTTGTTAGGTGCTGTTGAGTTGGTTCTGACTCATAGCAACCCTATGTACAACAGAACAAAACACTGCCCAGTCCTGTGCCATACTCACAATCATTGCTATGTTTGAGCCCACTGTTGCAGTCACTATGTCAATCCATCTCACTGAAGGTCTTCCTCATTTTCGCCAACCTTCTACTTCACCAAGCATGATGTCCTCCAAGGACTGGTCCTTCCTGATAACATGTCCAAAGTATATAAGACAAAGTCTCTCCATCCTCGCTTCTAAGGGAACATTCTGGCTGCACTTCTTCCAAGACAGATTTGTTCATTCTTCTGGTAGTCCATGGTATATTCAATATTAGTTTATCTAATACTGCTATAAAAACAAATACCAAAAGTAAGTGGCTTTAATGAACAAAAAATTATTTTCTCAATGTTTTGAAGGATGCAAGTCCAAAGCAGGGTCTCAGCTGTGTCAATTACTTCCTTTTCAGTAGCCCTGAGTGTTGCTTCATTCCTTGGCTTATAGATGATACTCACATGGCATCTGTCTTTCTGTGTCTGTGGATTTGGGTAAATGTAATTACCAACAAACCTACGCTGGCACAACACAATCGAAGACAATCATCTCCAACTCTAGATTTCATTATCATATGGCAGGTGTCTGAATGCAAAGCCTACTGTCAAACTTCCAGTCAGAAGAAGGTCAAAGAGAAAGGGGCAAACACTGAAAATAACAATTTACTTCAGACTATACTTTTGGAAGAACTTTGCCTAATTACAAATTTCTGCCAACTCTTTACTAGCAAGAATAATGGAATAAGGACACTGGTTTAATGGGGGAAAATGTAGATTATCTCACTAAAAAAAGTAAAATAAATATAACAGGAAACTGAAAGCCAATATCTAACACATGATGCCAGTAAGAAAATCCCAACAAATACTAAAGTATCATTGTTCTAGTAACTGCTTACTTATAGAACAATTATTTTGTAGGGTTTCTCTCCACACTGTGTTCTCCTATGTGTATGTAATGATGTGGGCCAAATGAAAGCTTTCCCACATTGCTTACATTCATAGGGTTTCTCTCCAGTGTGTGTACTCATATGTGTTCGTAAGGATAATGGCCATTTGAAGGTTTTCCCGCATTGTTCACATTCATATGGTTTCTCTCCACTGTGCATTCTCATATGTTTTAGTAACGATGAAGACCACTTGAAGGCTTTCCCACATTCCTTACATTCATAGTGTTTCTCTCCAGTATGCATTCTTACATGTTCTCGAAGGTGTGAGATTTGACTGAAGGCTTTCCCGCATTGTTTACATTCATAGGGTTTCTCTCCAGTGTGTGTAGTCATATGTGTTCGTAAGGATATGGGCCATTTGAAGGTTTTTCCACATTGACTGCATTCATAGGGTGTCTCTCCAGTGTGCACTCTCACATGCCTTTGGAAGGATATGGCCCAACTGAAGGTTTTTCCACACTGCTCACATTCATAGGGTTTCTCTCCACACTGTGTTCTTCTATGTGTACATAACGAAGTGGGCCAAATGAAAGCTTTCCCGCATTGCTTACATTCATAGGGTTTCTCTCCAGTGTGTGTGCTCATGTGTGTTCGTAAAGATAAGGGCCACTTGAAGGTTTTCCCACATTGCTTACATTCGTAAGGTTTCTCTCCAGTGTGTGTACTCATATGTGTTTGTAAGGATAAAGGCCACTTAAAGGCTTTCCCACATTCCTTACATTCATAGGGCTTCTCTTTACTATGGGTCCTTTCATGCCTTCGAAAGGAATGGAGATAACTGAAAGCTTTCCCACATAATTTACATGCATAAGGTCTTTCTCCACTGTGACTTCTCATATGTGTTCTTAGGTATGACGGACAACTAAAGGCCTTCCCACATTCCTGACATTGATATGGTTTGTGTCCAGTGTGATCTGCAATATGCATCTTAAGGGAGGAATGATGCATGAACACTTTTCCACACTCACTGCTTTCATATGTCTTGACTCTTGTAGGCATTTTCTCATACAAAGTAAGATTTGGAATCTGACAGATTTCTCCACACTGATTACGTTCAGTACTTTCACAGAGTCTCTCAAACATATGATTTCTGTTAAAAACGAGAAGAATTTTATTAATAATACAAAAGTGACTTTCAATATTTATTAATAACTATTAGGATTACAGAGGGCACTGGTGGCACAGTAGTTAGGCACTCAGCTACTAACTGAAAGGTCGGCAGTTCAAACCTATCACTCCATGGGAGAAAGGTGTAGTAGTCTGCTTCTGTAAAGATTTACAGACTTGGAAACCCTGTAGGGCAGTTCTACTCTGTCCTATAGGGTTGCTATGAGTCGGAATCGACTCAATAGCAACAAGTTTGGGTTTTGGGTATTAGGATTACATTTTTACAATTTTCAGTGAAGGTTTCCTGCTCTGTGTTGTTGTTATTAGTTGTTGTCAGGTGCCATCAAGTTAGTTCCAACCTCACAGCAACCCTATGTACAACAGAACAAAACACTGCCTGGTCCTATGCCATCCTCACAATCATTGCTATGTTTGAGCCCTGTGTGAATGGTATGAAAGTGGAATAAATCTGAAATCTCTGGAAGAGAGTTCATCCACAGCCATTATTAAAACAGTAAGTCTTATATCTGGGTTTTCTTAATAACTATTCCCAACTGAATTATATCTTAACACTCAGTGTCTAAGTCACATTTACTAAAAACTATTGTGAAAATTTATCATAAATACACAGGTAAAGCTAGGCATGGGTGGGGTTTTTGTTTGCTTTTTTAATTTCACAACATACTAAGATTCTTTCCTGGCATACTGCCTTCTCCTATGAGTGCAACTCACCTCACATTCCTCCCATGGTTATCGTGCTGATCTTCAATGGTAAGGTCTTCCGAAATTTTTCTTAAAATAGAGGCCCAAGAATCATTTCTTGTGAACTTTGTTATCCTATGTTCGTTGAATTTTTTTTCCCCAGAAATATCCTGTTGAGAAACTGACCCACTAGTCTTACATGGAGTCTCATCATCTGAAACCAAAAAAGTGAACAAGTCTTACAAGGAAAAAAATTGTATCAAATAAAGATGTTAAGAAGTTCAGCTGTTTAAAGACCTCATTAATAACAGGAACAAGGGGTCAAAATGGAAAGCAACTTCACAGACACAGTAAAATTCCCTCAAGGTTTCCAAAAACAAATGTATTGGGAATTCAAATGACCTGTGAAACCTATATGCACAGTGGTAACAGTAAGGAAATTTCAAGTCTTTTAACCAAGACAAAAAGAAAAACCTCAGTCTAATGCACAGATTCTGATGGTCATGGAGAAACTATTAGACTCCAGCTCCATGATGGTGGTGACCATTTCTATCTTACTGAGAAATGTATTCCTCTTTCCACATTACAAATCTTGGAACAGGTTTGATAAGCAAGAGGTGCTTGTTCTCTAAATAACTAAGTGAAGAAGTAATGTCCTCCTTACCTACTGATGCTAAGTTCCTGAAGGTTTCAAGCATCACATCTCTGTAGAGTTTCTTCTGTGCAGGATCCAGCAAAGCCCACTCCTCTAGAGTGAAGTCCACAGCCACATCCTCAAATATCACGGTCTCCTAAAACATACAACATATGTGTGCAGGAGGATGGGTGAAGCTGATAAAACTAGGGAACTGGACTCAGTTCACAGGCAGTTCAAACATGATTCTGAGGTCCCTTAATATCTACCCTACTACCCCCAATCATCAGACCTTTTACTCTCTGTCTACACTCACTAACTCATACATTAAACAATATCACTTACACATGTTATTTGTCTCTCCATTTTTATTATGACTACTTTAAGTCTTATTCCTCTTTATCAGAAGGGTCCAGAGCACAGTGGAGAAATGAGAGAAGTACTATACAAATGAAACAACTCTCTCCATTTTAAGACCACCAGTTCCTTGTGACAAAAACTATTTCAGCTCCTTCCCTACTTGTCTTAGTTATCTTGTGCTGCTATAACAGAAATATCACAAGTGGGTGGCTTAAAAAAACAAATTTATTTTCTGACAGTTTAAGAGACTACAAGTCTGAATTCAGGGTGCTAAATCAAGGGGAAGGCTTTCTCAGTCAGTGCTCCAGGAAGGTCCTTGTGTCTTTAGCTTCTGTTTCCTGGTTCCTCAAAGATCTCCATGTGGCTTGGCATCTACCTTACTCTATCTCTACTTCTCTCAATTACTTGTTTAATCTCTTTTATACCTCCAAAGAGAGTAATTGAAGACACACCCTACACTAATCCTGTCTGATTAACACAGCAAAGACAATCTATTCCTAAATGCAATTATAAACACAGGGATAGAGGTTAGAATTTACAACACATATTCTGGAGGGATACAATTCAATCCGTAACACTACTGCTCACCGCATCACTCAGCACTACATGAAACACAGGGTCAAACCTAGATGAGGTTTCAAAGAATAAAAACATACTGGAAGACTGGAAGCTCTTCCTTCTCTTTTTCTTACCACTCATAAAAGGTGAAAGTGCCTATGGAAACCCAACTTGCAAGAAGCACCAGCTAGCCACAATATGTTAAATACCTCCAGGCCATCAAAACTACACAGGCCCAACTGTCTAAACGAAATATTGTTTTGGAATAGTAATGATTTTTAATTGTGCTTTAAGTGGAAGTTTACAATTCAAGTTAGTTTCTCATACAAAAATTTATACACACATTGTTACATGACCCTAGTTGCTCTCCCTATACTACACACCTCCTTTCCACCCCATGTCCATTCAACCAGCTCCTGCCCCTTTCTGTCTTCTCACCTTGCCTACAGACAGGAGCTGCCCATTTAGTCTCAGGCATCTACTTGAGCTAAGAAGCACACTCTTCATGAGTAGCATTTTATGTCCCACAGTCCAGTCTAATCTTTGTCTCAGGAGTTGGCTTCGGGAATGGTTTCAGTTCTGGGCTAATGGAGAGTCCAAGGGCATGTCTTCTGGGGTCCCTCCAGTCTCAGTCGGACCATTAAGTCTGGTCTTTTTACTGGAATTTGAGTTCTGCACCCCACTTTTCTCCTGCTCCATCAGGGACTCTCTGTTGTGTTCCCTGTCAGGGCAGTCATTGGTGGTAGCCGGGCACTATCTAGTCCTTCTGGTCTCAGGCTGATGGAGTCTCTGGTTTATGTGGTACTTTCTGTCACTTGGGCTAATATTTTCCTTGTCTTTGGTGTTCTTCATTCTCCATTGCTCCAGGTGGGTTGGGACCAACTGATCTACCTTAGATGGCTGCTTGCTAGCTTTTAAGATCCCAGACGCCACTCACCAAAGTGGGATGTAGAACATTTTCTTAATAAATTTTGTTATGCCAGTTGTGCAGTAGTAATGATTTTAACTTATCTGTGTAGTAGTTATCACAGGCTCAGTATCTACTCTTCCTCCTGTGCCACTTCATGAAAACTGGTCATTATTGAGAAGTTACAGCTCAGAAAGCAGGAAAAAACATGAGATTTTAGACCCCCACAATTCCCTACACTCCCAAGCCTTGGTGTTGCTGTCCACCAATCCTGAGTGTACACTCAAATACACACACACCCACACACACACACACACACACACACACAGAGGTTATAACATGCCAGAAGAACACTTTTCACCAGAGCAGTAATAAAGTATTGTTTTCTTGCTGACCTTGAGACAGAGGTTAAGAGTTCCACGTTGCAAAGGTGTTAACTGAAGTCCAAAACAAGGCTCCAGGAATTGCTGGAATACCAATTGAGATGTTTCAACAAACGGATGCAGCACTGGAAGTGCTCACTTGTGTATGCCAAGAAATTTGGAAGACAGCTACCTGGCCAATCAACTGAAAGAGATCCATATTTGTGCCCATTCCAAAGAAAGGTGTTCCAATGGAATGTGAAAATTATCAAACAATATCATTAATACCACATGGAAATAAAATTATGCTGAAGATAATTCAAAAACAGCTGTAGCAGTACATCAACAGGGAACTGCCAGAAATTCAAGCCAGATTCAGAAGACGACGTGGAATGAGGGATATTACTGTTGATGTCAGACTGATGTTGGCTGAAAGCAGAAAATACCAGAAAGCCGTTTACCTGTGTATTACTGACTATGCAAAACCATTCAACTGTGCAGATCATAATTATGGATAACACTGCAAAGAACGGGAATTCCAGAACACTTAATTGTGCTCGTGAGGAACTTGTACATAGACCAAGAGGCAGTCATTAGAACAGAACAAGGGGATACTGCATGGTTTAAAATCAGGAAAGGTGTGTGCTGGGGTTGTATCTTTTCACCATACTTAATTCAGTCTGTATGCTGAGCAAATAATCCGAGAAGCTAGACTATATGAAGAAGAACATGGCATCAGGATTGGAGGAAGGCTCATTAATAACCTGCAATACGCAGATCACACAGTCTTGGTTGCTGAAAGTGAAGAGAACTTGAAGCACTTACTGATGAAGATCAAAGACCACAGCCTTCAGTATGGATTACACTTCAACATAAAGAAAACAAAAATCCTCACAACT